CTGCTAGTGAGCAGTGAGCTGGTGTTTCCACAGAACCACCTACTACATCTCCGAGATCTGAATGGGAATCACTAGCTCAAAGCCCACCACTGTGTGTGTATATACAGTCAGGATTATTTTTTACTGAATATTTAGCTTAACATCTGGCCATAATAAATGCAGGCAGGATATAGGTGAGCTGTGCCCTAGATATACTGTCAATATAATCAACTAGCTTAGTTCAGCTTCTGTGACCAATACTCAGGCTTTCTCTCTTCATAGAAGCTGCTAAAAGAAAAACAATCAATGCCATCTGCAATCATGCTTACTGAGAATTGGAAAAAAGAATCCAATAAAAGAAGACACTTTTTCCCCCTTCTGGATATCCTTGTAAAATTAAAATTATTACCGTCATAATGCCAAGATATAACGCTTGCGTTACTGTCCTGGTTTCGGCAGGGATAGAGTTAATTTCCTTCCTAGTAGCTGGTACAGTGCTGAGTTTTGGATTTAGGATGAGAACAAAGTTGATAAGGCACCGATGTTTTAGTTGTTGCTAGGTAATGCTTACACTGGCCAAGGACTTTTTAGTTTTCCATGCTCTACTGACTGAGAAGGCTGGAGGTGCACAAGAAGCTGGGAGGGGGCACAGCCAAACTGGCCAAAGGGACATTCCATACCATGTGACGTCATGCTCAGTACATAAACTGGGGAAAGCTGGCCGGGGGGGGCCGCTGCTCGGGGACTGGCTGGGCATCGGTAGGCAGGTGGTAAGCAATTGTACTGTGCATCACTTGCTTTGTGTATAATTATTATTATCATATTAGTATTATTATCATTTTATTTCAATTATTAAACTGTTTTTATCTCAACCCACGAGTTTTTCTCACTTGTGCTCTTCCAATTCTCTCCCCCATCCCACCAGGTGGGGGGCAGTGAGCGAGCGGCTGCGTGGTGCTCAGTTGCCGACTGAGGTTAAACCACGACAGTTACTTTCCAAAAACAAATCTACTTAGCTTCAGAATGGCACTGAGATTTTCAATCTCTTAATACGGGTTTGAGTTTTTACTGAGATCAAATACAGTGAGCCATGGCTCTAATATTAAAGAATAGCAAATTTTCTAGAATTATCACTGTTTTATACATAGCAGTACAGCTGAAACAACATCTGATATTCAAAATTGCTATTTTTAAAGAGGAAAAGGACATCTTTGATCTTTCATATGTCTTCAGACACTTTGGACATCAATCCTAAATATGTAGTATTGGTAGCCATGCTGCTGCTGAATAAATAATGTGTAAGAGAGGCTAATAAATACAGCTGGGAAGCTTGTAGCTTTTACTCTGTACTGTCTGAAGCTTGAACACAAAGAAGCCAACACAAAAAAGAAACAAAACAGAGATGGGGAAATAAATGCCACAACTTGCATTACATTTCTGAACTGTCCACAAAATTTTGTATTGCAGTAGTTCTGTGAACACGTGAAGACATCCCTGGGGCAATTTTTCAGCAGGTAAAACTTCTCCCACTGCTCAAGTGCTTTGTTTGTACAGTTTTCCAGGAGATTCCCACACAGTGAGAATGACTGTGCTCTGTGGAGCACTTCCACATAGAGCCTCCCAAATCCCCTTTTCTATCTGACGAGGCCATGAAGGACACCTTATCCTTCCTCACTGCACTCCCTCACATGGAGCACGCAGTCACAAAGGCAGAACAAGCGACTCTCACGTGTATTATTATGGGATTACCATGCCAAGCCCATCTGGTCCACAGCACAGAGGCCACAGTCTGAAGTCAAACTGACCCTGAGAGGAGGCTATGCAGAGGGGTAGATGCCAAACCACCATTTTGGAAAGGCCACTTGCAAGTCCACATCTACACTGCTGAACTTTAGTATCTACTGACTGGAGATTAGCAGCAGATGAGATTACAGAACTGACAGATGCCTACAGCCCGTGAAGGGTGGTGACCCCAGGAGGAGGCATCTCCTCTCAGGTAGGAGGTGTTTCAGTAAGTCCTCAGTCAGGATGCCAAGTAGTCTGTAGGCAGCTGTAACATCTGGCAGAGATTTGAGATTCACATCTTCACTGGAATGAGGAGGGTGCAGACACCGAGGCATCCTAAGGTTTTCTTCAGGGAGGACTGTGAAACATCAATTTTATCCATGTAACTACAGGACCCACAGACGTGTTACCAGTCCAGTAGGGACCAACAACAACCAGGATCCTTATGCCGCTAATATTTGGTAAGGATATGTCTTTTAGACAATGCTGTGGAGCAGAAAATATTACACACTGTTCTTTTCTCGCCGGTAGAAAGATTTTGGGACATCTTTTCAACCACTGATCGCAAATCACTTCAGAAACTGAGATTTTTCTAGGGCTAAGTTTGTGATGGGACTGCCAGGAAGGCCACTGGAGCCTGTTTTCTCACCATTTTCTCCATCTACTCTGACAGCTGCTTCCACACAAAATTAGTCTCTAGATGTGTTCTGAACAGATTTGCTTTCATTGTTTTTTTTCAGTGAATCCACCATGACCCTTTTCAGACAAAGCAAACAAGCAAGCCCCCCATCCCAAAACACCTCAGAGTGACTGGGATTGCAATGAGAACATGGGAGCAGCTTCCCTCTCAGGCTCACTTTCTTCTTTCATTCCCTATTCTGCATGGGCAGGTTACAAAAGACAAATCATGAGTCACTTACCTGGGCTCCGGGTGACAGCCACAGTGAGATATGCCAGACTTATCCTGGGCAGCAACAATTCCATTGAAGCCTAAGTGACTGCGACCATTTAGAAAATAACATACTGAAACATAACTCCTTGGCAGGGCGGGTGAGGAGAACAGGCAGGATAATTTGGGAGAAGCATCTTTGCCTTGAAGTGATCAGGGGCCAAAAAGGGAGGGGGGGGGGGGGGGGAGAATATGAGAGGAATCAAAGATGAAAGAAAGACTCTGAAACTGAAATGGTGTGTCTTATGCTGGAAGTTAATACTGAACTGTGCCTGAAGGAAGGAGGGCAGCAAATATTGTTTTGACCTGCAGATGGAAGGGAAGACCATAATACAGGGCTGTGAATTTGGCCATAAGCAGAAGAGTCCATGTTATTTTTGCTGATGCTAGAGCTGTGTCTCTGAATACTAAAGCTGCGCAGTCCATCTCCCTGCCTTGAATGCAAGGCAATGTTGACATGATCAAAATTCACTAAACAAGGAATAGCTGTGTGAAAAAAGAACTGAAAGTGAACATAATTGGTATTCCCTGTTTCCTGCTTGTTTCTCACCATCTCCTGCAATAATTTTTTTTCTTTTCTTTGAGCTCTGATTTTACAGATTGTAATAAAGAATGGACATATGGACAGAAAAACAGAATCCCTTATATAATACAATTGTCCCAAGCATGAATGCAGCAGCCTAATGTATTCCCGTGCATGTTCTTCATCACCACCAAAAGGTAAATTCTTAGAGCAGCTGTTTCCCCTAAACCCACTCAGATGGATTCAGCTCCTACAAGAGGCAGTGCCACTGCACTTAGACCTCTACAAGCCACCAAGAGTTTCAAGCTCAGCCACATTTATTTGCGCTTCCCTGAGAGACACACAGGCAAGCCTGCAGAGCTAGAAGTGCTGGGGAGCCCCAAAGCTGCGCCTGTCATGCACTTCAGTGAGCCAGACCCCAAGCGGGGATGTCACAACCTGTCTCAGGTCTACAGGGTCAGGAAAAGGGGAGCTGGGCACAGTGTTACACCAGGCAGAAAGGCAGCAAGGCCTGGATTCAGAAATACAGCACATGAGGACGCCTTAGCGCAATGAATGCTACCCCATAGCCAAAGGTACACTGCATATGGCTGGCTGCACAGGGGCACACCACCACAGGAGGACTACAGGGAGACCCGCATCACCAGGGCATCACAGCTACGTGGCATTTGGGATGAAAAGCAGGACAAGTTACACTGCTCGGGGTTATGAGTCACAAGGACCTAGCCTCCAGTCACGAAGAAGACATCATTCAGCTGGCATGGGTGAGACACAGTGGCTCTGCAGGGGACAGCAAGGGAAAGCCACTGTCACTTGTCCAGGCCTGGCCCCAACCCGGGTGAGGAACTACTTCCACTGGAGCGGAGCAGGACTCAACATGTTCCTTGGACTGACCCCCTGCCACCACCTGCACCAGCTGGGCACGGCACCCAGGGGGCGACAGCCCCGCAGGGCTGACCACATGGTGCCCATCCTCAGAAGACCCCAAAATCCCCAGGGCCAGTTGTAAGGGGCCCCAAACCCCAGAGAGCCTGCAAGCCCGATAGGGCCAGCTGAACCAAACTGCACAGGGCCTCTAAACCCCACAGGGGCAGCCACATGAGACCCCTAAACCCCACAAAGCTCCCTAAACCCTAGAGAGCCAGCTACATGGGACCCCTAAACACCACAGTGCCCCTCCGACACGAAAGTGCCATCTGCAGTGGGCCCCTAAACCCCACAGGGCTCCCTAAACCCCACAGGAACAGCCACAAAAGGCCCCTAAACCCCACAGGGTCAGCTACAATGGGTCCCTAAGCCCCACAGGGCTCTCTGAGCCCCACAGGGTCAGCTGCCAGGGGACCCCAAACCCTACAGAGCTTCCTAAGCCCCCCAGAGCCAGCTACAAGGGACCCCTAAATCCTAAAGCACTCCCTAAACCCTACAGGGTCAGCCGAAAAGAGCCTCTAAACCCCACGGAGCCTGCAAGCCCCACAGAGCCAGCTGCAAGGGGCCTTTAACCCTCCCCCCCCCCCCCCAAGGACCCTGAAA